ATCCCGAGGAAAAAGCTGTTTCCATGACCAGAACCACATCAACTTTAACGTTGTGCAGCAAATACTAATAGCACCATTAAGATTTATTAAAATGTCCTGAAAGGAATTACTATTAGTATATTTACTTGACCAGCTGGTTGCTGCATTTACATTATATTCCCATATAAGAGAAGGGCACAAATATATATATATATAAACAGAATCCTTGCTTTTCTTGTAGACCCACTCAGTGGAGTGCCAGATCTCCTAATTTTACTTCTTTCAGCATAGGAAAATTGCATTTTGGAATCAAATTAACAAAAAGAGAAGCAGAATTATTTACTCTACTAAGTGGGTCGAATCATCTGTACAAAATTTTCTTTTCAAGGATTAAAAAAGTTCAGCATATGAATTGTTTACTCTGTCGTGTTTCTTTCCAATTGTGACCTTGTGTTTATCATACTAATGTTACATTGCTATTATGATATGAACAAATGTGAATGCTAACAATAACATGTAAATGCTAACAACACATTCTTTGACGTTTTTTTTTTTTTTCATACATTCTCAGTCATTAAGTGAATTTCAGGTGAATCTCACTAAATAAGGAGGGAACCAATTTATTTAGCAAGATCCGCATAAAATTCACCTAATAATAGATAATATGTTGAAAAGAGTGTCAAAAAGTGTGTTACTAACACTTCTCTTTCACATGATATGAATAGAATAAATATGAGCTAGAATGGAACAATCCTCCCTAATTCGTAGTTTGATAACTTTAGGAATGGAATGATTTTCTAAGCCCTTCAATAACTTGATACTGGAAATAAAACATCAAATGTAGTTTTTTTTTTTTTTTTTTTTTAAAGTAAGTTATAGGTAATTTCAGCTTTGAAAATTAATTTGTGGTATGGTAAAAATATATAAAATATATATCATTCAAAGAGTTTGAGCCATTTGATTAAGAACTGCATCTTGTGCAATTTTTTTCATAGATGCAGGGGATCTTTATTAAAGTTATCCAAATAGTATCAATACCCTAGTAAGAAAAACAAAAAAAATAACTATTCTTACAATGCTTAATTTTTTTTTTTTTTTATAAGTTATTAATAAAATGTTAAAAAAGAACAAACACAACATTTTATAGTTTTCAAAAAAACAGGTCTTACCAAACGAGTTTTTTAGTTTTTTTGTTCTGAAAACTAAAAGTTGTTTTGTAGAACAGTATTCAAACAGAGCCATAATTATTGGTTTTTATATGTGACTCAGAACACATCTCTGATGAACTACTTCACTAGTCCAAAACAAACTAAAAGCGTAAATGTTCGGAAACATTGTTTCAGCTTAGAAAAAAGACCCTTACAATGGAAAGAAGAATTTGGCATGTATTCCTGCCAGAAAATATAGAATTCGTCAATTTTGGTAAGAAGGAAGAAGAGATTAACCAAATAAAGTGGGGGGCGCATGGGAAATAGTGTACGGACACCGCATGTTAAGCCCTCAGTTGGGCGCCAGAGAACTGAACTGAGAACATGTGTTTAATTCTCTCCAATAATATCTTTGGGAAGAGTTTAAAACCCTAATCTCAGGACTTGTCTCGAATCGGACTAATTGCGAAACGATGAAACGATTGAAATATTTTCAAAAAAAATAAAAATAAAAGCAAGAGACCGAGAAGCTACTTATTTTAAGATGTTGGGTATCTAATAAGAGCCTGTTTGAATTCTCTTATTTTTAAGCCAGAAGCTACTTATAAGCTAAATCAATTCAAATCAGCCTAGAGAGTGTACATTTCAATAGTGTAAATTACACTTCTAAGGCATCCAACAAAATTTTGAATCAGATGAGGCTGAAAGACATTGTAAGCTTTCGAACCAGCATATATAGCACAAGAACTACTCAATACAATTGCATGATCAAAGAACAACACGATGCAGGAAGTACAAAATTGAAGCATCTTCCCAAGTAATAATAAATGTGTTACGATCCCTGTTAATAAAAGGTGTTGTGGTTAGTTATGGGAATAATATTCCCTTTTACTGATACGGGTGTGTTTTGTGAGGTGAGGCTGAAGTTGCTATATAAAGGGGAGGGAATCATTGTAAAGCCCTCGGAGAATCTTGGACACACTTGGGCTGAGAAATCAGAATTGGGAGAGACATCTAGAGCCTCTTGAATTGCTCGAGAAAACTATCTTTTCCTTCTTGCATTTTTACCTTCTCTGTATTTTTCTCAGTTTTGCTTCTCTGTATTTTTCTTAGTTTTCCAACATAACATGTACTGCTGTTGCTGAATTACCAGCCTTAATCAATACACACATTTCAGTTTTTCCTTCCATTTCTTATTTCTACATTTTGGTTCCTATCAAAATGCTTGGATTGAAGTCTTGAACATGTGTCTTGAACATGCAAATCTAACTAATAATAGTAATTGTCTCCTAAAAGGTTAAATGTAACACTGCATATAAGACATGATCTCAGCAAGTTATGTAAGTTTAGGATAGCAGTCCATTATATTCAAGGAAACAACCTGGGCTCAAAATCAATCAAGATATCATATTTCTTGACACAGAGCTCTAAAGCATTGCAACAGTGGATGGATGAGCGAATGAAATGTGGAATAAGATGGCTATGTGTATCCAAAATGTGGAAATGAGGGAGGTAGAAGAAAGCAAATGGAATGGATTTCAAGCAAAGGAAACATGGCGGTGGAATGAAGAGGTGCAGGAAGCTATTGAACAGAAGAAGGAATGCTTCAGATGTTTGCATAAAAGTCCTAATAATAAGAACTTGCAAAAGTTTCGTTTAGCTAGAAAAAATGCTAAGAAAGCAGTGCAAAAAGCTAGAGGCAAGGTGTTCGCAGATTTGTATAAAAATCTTGGGAGCAAGAATGATGAAAAAGGAATATATAAACTTGCAAAAATGAGAGATAAGGAAAATAAAGACCTCACCCAAGTTAGGTGTATCAAGGATGAAAATTTAAAACTTTTAGTAAGAGATACAGAGGTAAATGAAAGGTGGATGAAATACTTTAATAAGCTTTTTAATGGGGATGGCGATAAAAGCGAGGTGGTCTTGGAGGACGCTTATAATGATTTGAATAGAAGATTTGTGTGCAGAATCCAAGCACATGGAGTTAAAGAGGCTTTAAAGAGGATGAAGACCGGTAAAGCTTTGGGATCCAATGGTGTCCCTGTTGAAGGGTGGAGAGGCCTGGAGGATGTGGCAATAAAATAGTTGACCAATCTTTTATATAAGATTCTTCAAACAAATAAGATGCTTGATGTCTGAAGAAAAAGTTTGCTTGTGCCTATTTACAAAAACAAGGGTGATATTCAAAATTGTTCTAATCATAGATGCATTAAGCTTATGAGCCATACTATGAAGTTGTGAGAGAAAGTTATTGAACACCGCTTGAAGAGAGAGACCAAGGCCACTGTTAATAGAAAACTAGAATTGTGGAGAAGCACATTGGACTCTAAAGGATTTACGTTAAACAGGAGTAAGACTGAGTATATGAAGTGTGATTTTTCTCTAGTAGGAGATAGAGACCAAGATTCTGTGCATCTGTTTGCACAAGAAGTACTCAAGAAAGATGCTTTCAGATATCTGGGATTTTTGCAAAAAGGTGGAAAGATTGATGGGGATGTAAATCATAGAATCAAAGCAAGGTGGATGAAATGGCGTAGTGGATCTGGGTTTTTGTCTGACCGCAAAATTCCTCTTAAGCTAAAAGAAAATTCTATAGAGCAGCAATAAGGCATGCAATGTTATACGGAGTTGAATATTGGCCAGCACATAGGCAATATGAATATAAAATGGGAGGAGCGGAAATGAGGATGTTAAGGTGGATGTGTGGTTATACGAGGTTGGATAAGATAAGAAATAAAGATACTAGATGAAAGGTGGGAGTAGTACCGGTGGCAAAAAAGATGAGAGAGGATAGATTGAGGTGGTTTGGCACGTAATGAAAAGGCCCTTGGATGCTCCCATAAGAACAAAAGTTTGTTACCAAGAGCTTGACATAAAGAGAGGTAGAGAGACCGAAACTTAATTGGGAAAAGGTAGTAAAACAAGACTTGATGGAGTGGGATATAAATTGGTGGACGTTGTGTCTTAGGACGGAGTGGAGAAAAACTATATGCACAGTGGAGGATTAGACCCATTTTTATTCCTATGTTCCAGACGGTCCCTTTTTATTCCTTTTCCTCTTTATCTCCGCCCCCCTCCTCTTTCTTCTTCTCTTTTATTCCACTTTTCCTTTCAATCTTTTTCTCCTACCTATTTATTTATGTGGTTTTCTTTTCCTTTCTTCCTATATCCCTTTTTATGTTTTTTATTTTATTTATTTATTTATCTATTTATTTTTTACTTTTTTTATTTCTTACCTTCTTATTCTCTTCTTTCCTCTTATATATTCTTATTTGTATTTATTTTAATTTATTTTTCCTTGTAATTGTGTAATGTTTTTCTATGGATAATACATATATATATATATATATATATATATATATATATATATGCTTAAAGTTTTTTTTTATCACAATCATTTTGTATCATTTTTTGGGTTCATCTACCACCGACCCCAATTAATTTAGGATGAAGGTGTTGTTGATGTAAATATACTAAAACAACATGTTAATAGACAACAGCGTGAGGATCTATTTCTCTTAGCTGAAAAAATCTCGGTCATATACCTGCTAACATGTAGCTTATGACCCCATGTCAATTACCAAATAGTAATAATGATAAGAAATAACTACAGAAAGTACAGGAAGATAAATAAGCGATTAAGGATTGGAGGCTTACCTGGCCCAAAGAATTCCTACACCTTGCAGATACAATGTGACATTCTCTTCAACGCATTCACACAATACATGATATGAGGCCTGGGCGAAATGCAGATTGGAAATGAAGTATTCCTCCAAAATAAACACAAAACTTACAAAAAAAAAGAACTCGGCTGAATTTCAGATATTTTAACTTATTCTCAACTTCTTCATGAGCAAAACCGTACCCAAGAAAAAGGTTGCTCATAACAGACAGCATACAATGCAAATACCTTCTCGAAGATGTCAGTTAAAATACATGGCGTAAGATTTTATCATTTGAGGGACACTACCACCAACCCTAGTTATAAACACTACAAAATAGCAAAATATGCACAAGTATCGCAGGATTATGGGAATTGAACAGCTATCCTTTTCTTGCACCTGATTGGATAGTGATACGACACCTTTGAAGGTGTATTATAGGAAACGCCACAGGGGAATGATTGGCAAAGGTAAATCAACCTTACAAGGGAATATTCCAGATGACAGCACACATAACTGAATGGGTGCAATTCTGTTAGTAGAGAGAAAAATACCATATGCTGAGGTGGCTTTTGTTAAAAGGTGATAGAGGCATTCGAAGGGGGGATTGAGAATTGGAGTGGGAACTTAGAGAGCTCAGCATCTCCCTAACCTGCTGCACTATAGCTTCTTTTCTTTAACCTTTTCATACTGTAATAGGCACTATTGACTATTGAGTACTTTTACTTCCTTTCTTGCATTTCTGCCATTGTAGTTCTTTTTCTTCATCAATATCCAGAAGCCAAAAATTTCCTTGCGTTCTTTTATTTCTCAGATATCTGATCAAGACATATCACATAGTTCATATAAGTTAGTCAGATAAGGGAAAAAAAAAAATTACGTATTCAGGTGTAATTATGCATTGACAACAAATCCTTCATTTGAGGAAGAAAAACATCGTCTTCAAAATAGTTATTAGAAAAGAAAGAAAGAACAAGTTTTCAGAAGCACAAAATGACAATGATGTACATATTACGAAATTTCAAACATCCCTCCCTCCACAATTTTTTGTGGATGCCCTAACTTTGCAATAGAGCAACATCCCCGGGCCCTAAACTTTAATATTAAAAAAAGGTGACTAATTAACTACAAATCTCATGCAAGTCCAGGGTGCTGTTTGGATTTTGAAGCTTTAATTATTAAACTGCAAATTGCACACTTTCAGGTTATCGATGAAACATAAATTTTCTATATTTTCAAAAATTGAATGAATCCATTGCCAAGAATCTAGTACAGAACAGAACCCACTGAATTCCACTTTCATGGTTTCTGTTTCCAAATCCATTTGTCTGATTCCAATTGCTTTCATACGGAAAAATCACTTTAAAGTTGCTCATAAAGGAGCCAGATTTTAAGTTCTGTGGAAAAGAGAGTATCTTTTTTTTAGATATAATAAAAGAGAGTATCTTTAAATAGCAAGAGAAAATACATACAAACCACTTGAGTTGAGCCACTGAAAGAAATGCAGTTGAATTTTGAAAAAAAGAGAAAAAATCATTCATTTGTCATCCATGTGATATAAAGACATTAAAAAGTGTTAAAGCTGAATCGTATTCATGTGACTTAAAAGAGATCAGAACAAATGCTGAGATAGCTATAAGAAATAAAGTGAGATAAATAAAACAAATGCAACTCAGGCATGAATTTACACTAGCCTGTATATACATGGATCGGTAAATGTATAGGTTATTTTGACTCTGTTATGAACTCCTTCATGACAGATATTCCAATCAATTCAGTCCAATAAAGTAAAATGCAAGTTATTACTCTAAGTATGTCTTTACTATCTGACATAGAATTAAGGTGACATTCTCCCCAATTATTTGATTTTATAGATTAGAGTTCATTGCTCTCTGCTGCAAGACAATTCTCCAGACCAATTTTGTTCATCCCAGAAGTCAAAAAACGTCCAAGAAGGAAAAATATAAGGAATTATGTTTGACATTATAATACCTTTCAGAAAAGCTTCTCTATTTCTAACAGCTGTTACAGTGCATCAATTTTGCAGCATATCTAGTTTTTCAGAATTAGCAATAACTTCCTTCAATCCAGCTTAGTCCAGGCATTTTTCTCAGACTAATTTTATCCCTCAACTTCTTCACATCATCCCACCTCCCATCACCAGCATATACATTAGAAAGCATAACCCTGTAAGCATTATCAGCAGGATTACTTTCAAAAAGCCGCTGAGCTACTGTTTCTGCCAACTCAGAATTTCCACAAGAATTACAGCAGGATAATAAGGCTCCCAGGATGGCCTTATCTACTGGTTCTGGTAAGGATTGAGTGAGATTGTAAGCCTCTTCTAACTCCCCAGCACTTCCAAGAAGCTTCACCATGTAAACATAGTGCTCAGGCCTAGCTTTGATATTAAATTCATCTTTCATTCTCCGGAAAATCTCTCGGCCATGTTTGACGAGGCCAGCATGACAACAAGCACAAAGTAGAGCAGTGAATGTGGCTTCATCAGGCACCAATCCTTTCTCCAGCATCTTAACAAACATCCTGAAAGCCTCAGAAGTACATCCATGCAAGCCAAGACCCAAAATGACTGAATTGTAAGAAATTACGTTCCTTTCTGGCATTATCCTGAAAACATAAATTCCCAAGCGCAAGAAACCACACTTTGAATACATGTCAATGAGAGCAGAGGAGACCTTAACATCTGACTCCAATCCATGGCGAAGAACATAACCATGTATCTCATATCCCAGTGCTACATTCGCCGTCTGAGCTATAGAAGACAATACACTAGCAATCAAAACAGAATCTGCCTTCTTGTTTTCCATGTTTAATTTCCTAAAAAAGAGCAGTGCCTTATCATACTCTCCGGACTGAGAATAACCAGCTATAAGAGCAGACCGCGTGACCAAATCAGGATTAAAAATACTGCAAAAGACACTATATGCTGAAGCCATGCAATTACATCTTGAGTACATACTCACCAGTAAACTACCTACATGAGAATCACAATCGAGCCCACTCTTTTGACTCAAACCATGTAATCCTTGGCCAATGCTCAGCAAGTTAGGGTCTGCAATACCCATAAGCAACCCAGCCAGTGTATATTCATCAGGCTTCTTCCCAACAAGTCGCATTGAGCTAAACATTTCCATCCCTACATCCCAAACACCAGAGCTCCCATAACCAAAAATCAGTGAATTCCACAAAACTAAATCCGGTTCAGGGATCCCATTGAACACTCTATGCGCTTCATGAACAAGGCCCAATTTCGAATAAGCAGTGACAAGTGCACTGCAACAAATAGGGTCCAGTCCTAACCCAGAAGCTACAGCACCACCATGAACAAGTCTTAGCATTCCAAAATCAAAGTTATCAGAGCATGCACGAATAACACATGCATAAGTGTAATTATCAGGACTTATGTCAGCCCCAAGCATGGTTCTAAATAGAGAGAATGCATTGGCAAATCTTTGGGACTGCGCAAAAGCTCGAATCATGGAATTCCAAAGGTAGACACTTCGATTGGAAGTTTTGTCGAACATATGGTAGGCAGATTTAATGTCATTGTTAGCTGCATACAGCCTAACAATTTTAGTTGCATAAAAGGGGTCTTGTGAGAGATGGGTCTTCAAAAGCACAGCGTGTAACTGCTTGGTCCTCAACAAGGACTTGCAAATGTTGCTGAGTTCGGAATGGAGCCATTGAAACTGAGTCAACATTAAGATAACAACGTAAACTTGCTGTGTGGGTTACGTGCAACAATAACAATACATATACGCTTCATGATCATCATCAGTTCAAGAACTGGAACAAGATGACTTTGTCTGTTCTTTGGGCTTTGTCTTATGGTGGTTTTCTCTCTTCATTACCCATATATATATATGAAATCGACACTTGTATCGTTTCACGTAATATTAGAGAGATTATTGAATAAGAATGTAAAGGAATATATTGTCAACATTCTTCTAAATTTAATTAAAAATGCGTAAAAAAAATACATGGTTAACATATATATTTTTTGGAAAAAAGAATTCTTATATTGCAGTAGAACTCTTTTATCATGTTAGTGAGAGTTTGTTTTGCGCGCAATAATTTTTTTTGTTTTCTTTATTTTTTATGTGTGGGCCCCACCATGAATTTGAGTGTGTAGGAAACTTTCCTCCTCTCCAATAACATGAGAAAAACATTGCCCATATTTTTTAAGTTGTTAACATTCTTTAAAATTAAATTAATATGAATTTATGTACAAAAAAAAAATTAATATGAATTTGCTCTTATTTTCCAATTCTAAAATACACAATCAATTTAGTGTATCATTAGTCATATTATCATAATTCACTTCACTTTGTTTTACCTATTAAACTCGGCCAAAACTATTTCTGAAGTAGTGGCAAAAATAATTTATTTGTCACATATACAAAAATAGAGAGAGAGAATGGATACAACATTGGATCCTAGTAAAAATAAAATAAAATTAGTGGGTCCTATTTTTTGTTTCTGAAATGGCTGACATTACTTTTCTGTCGCTGCTGCGGAAAAGTAATGCTCTTAAACTTATTATAAGATGGAAATGGAGGTATGTATCCAAACAGGTGAAGTATATTGATTTGACGATGATTGAAGAGGCAATAGATGAAACAAGGCTTGAAAAAGTCACCGTACTAGCATTAGGTTAATTGAGGGTGAAAATGGGAGATTGGGCTCGATTATGATAGTGGAGGTGATTTGGCATAATAACAACAAGCTTGAATGATGGAAAAGATGATACTTTTAGCAAGGAGAGACCCTCTTAGCTTGAAAGATTCCTTCAAATTCCTTCTCAACATGAAGAGTGTGATGTCATAATCGTTTTAGCCCTGTGCACCCTACTATCATGTGAGGTTGCATGACTCCTGATGCAAAAAAGATTATGCGTTCATGGAAAATATGAGAAAGACACATGTATTGGGAGTCATATGTTTCATATGATGAGTGCGTGAGACCTTGTCAGGCAACCATTTAAACCAGCTAGGCAAGGCCATCTGGCCGGTCTAGAACACATATTAACTCGTACAACTAGCTTCCATAGAAAAATAACTTGCTCATTATAGCAATGCATAAAAAGTTTTCTTTGCCATTTAAAAAATCTCAAACTATGGGTTATACATATTACAAAGTATATTTTATGTTCACCAAAATTAAAAAATAAAATCCAATGATTAATACAGTTATTTAGTCAGTATATCGATTTTAATTTCATAAGTTCATAAATTAAAAAGTTTTACTAATAAAAATATATTAAAAAATAACAAATGTGGCATCATACTTGATAATTAACACTTCTTTTCTTATTTTTACTTTTGTCAGTATAATTTTTTAGTTTGGTAAATATTCATTACTAAAAGTAGGATTTTAATATTATTTTTTTAGGAGGGCAAAAAATGGAGAAATTCCTTATTAAGAACGAGGAAAAAAAACAAGGACAAGAAGATCAGTTAATATCCAATACACTACCAAAGTTTGGAATGATTAATGACTTAATTGTGCCTTAGGCACATCTCGGATAATCCTAAGTATATTTGTGTTCTGGCTTAATATTGGGTGATTAACTTTTTTGCCCTTGTTTTTTTTTTTAAATTATTATTTTGTCTCTTTTTTTAAATTATATATCAATCTGCTCTTGTTTGACCACGTTAATCGCAAGTTAATCAAGTAACTACAATTACTCAAGTAAATGACTTACTCCAGTAACTGACCCAATTACTCGAGTAACTCAGGCACGTGGGCAACTCAAATTTAGATCCACGGGTATTTTTTATTCAGACCAAGTTCTAATATTTTATACATGTATAAATGGACTTGGGATGAGTGTTTGCGGATCCAAAACAATCAAGGACAATCTCCATCCAAGTTTTTTATACCCTAAAATAGTATAAATTTTGTAAGGGCATAACTTTTGGCCTGATTGTCCAAATCAGGTGTTCATATTTTCATTTCCCGTAATTTTCAAGATCTACACGATGGTAAAGTAAATAGGCATAAATCTTTAAAAGCAATGCCATATGTACATAAAACTTAGTTTAATAAATTTAGTTTATGGTATAAAGAGCTTGGATGAGATTGTTCTCATTTGTTTTGGACCCTCGAACTTATACATAAAGTCGAAATATGTGTGCTTTGATGATAATTATTAACATGGCTTAATAAAAAAAATGAACCCAATTTAACATGTCATATTGACAATCAACAAAAAATCATGTTTTGACACTTTGAATTGAATGATGATTGCCCTCAATTGTAAATGACCCATAAACATTCATTCTAAATCTATTTATACATGTACAAAACATTAAAACTTGGTCTAAATCAAAATTATTCCTAGATCCGAATTTGAATTACCCACTTGCCTAAGTTACTCGAATAACTCGTTGTCAATATGATCAAACATGGGCAGATTAATACATAATTTTGATAAAAGGTCAAATTAATAAATAGATTAAAAAGGAGGCAAAGTGATAAAAAAAAATTAAATACACGACCACGATGGTTAATCACCCATCAACATTATCAATATTAGAGACCCAACTCAGGCCCAAAGAACCCTAACACTACTAAATGGTGGTAGCTCAGTTGGCATGGGAGCTGAGTAGGTGAGGGTGAGAGCTTGTGTTCGATCCTACCCAGTACCACCTTTGGGAAGGGTTTAGAGTCTTAATTTTGGACCCACCCCGAATCAAATTAATCGTGAAATGATGAACCGATTAGAATATTTCCTAAAAAAAAAAAACCCTAACACTCGCATAGAGACGATGGCACGTACCACATAAGGAGTCTTGTAAGCTATAGATAGCAGAACTTCCATGGAAAATACTCATCTTCTTCCATATAACTAGAGCATGCCTGAATATCTTGAAGAATACGAAAAAATTTACTATGCTCCAGGACCATCAATAATTGAATGATTCCTTTTGTAAAAATCCCCCGAAATTTCTTCCACTTTACTCCTTTCTTTTATTTTTATTTCCATGCATGTCCTAAATTTTAAAAAGCAATCACCCAATTGTTGGTGGTCCCGATGCATACTAAATTTTCTCGCAGAATACCCCCACCAATTTTCAAGAAGCACGTCAAAAGGAGCATTCCAAACCACCAACAACCAGACCAGGGTGGATCATCGTCATCTATGCAGCTGGGCCAGATATTCTAAGTTGATCACCATGTATAATACTTTACTCTCTACACTCTTCGTTGTCAGAGTTTTTATTTTTTTTTACACATTCATGAAAAATACTTGTTAAATCAAAATAGCTATGAAAGGAGAGAATGAATTGAGACTATCTTTTAAACTTTCGTCCTCTCAAAAGCTTTGGGGCTTGGAAAAGGTCAACAAAAGGGTGTAAGTGGGTCGGACCGGCCTATGGCCTAGCCTTTATCAGATCAGTCTCGACCTATTACATATAGTCAAATAAAATAGGTATGATCTTTTAAAAAAGTCTATTTAGAAAAGCAGGCTATAGGCTTTTTTTTAAATGTCAGACCTATAAACCTACAGGCTTGCCTATATAAAATAATATTATTCATAGTAGTATCAAGTGGTGATAGTTAAGTTGGTGCATGTGATCAAGTAAGTGGTGAAAGAACCTAGGTTCGATCCCCCACCAATACCATCTTTGGGAGTGACATAAGATATATTCCAATATCTACAATAGCATCATAATCAACATAGGATGGATTGATTTTGTTGGATCTGATAAAATATATCTCATCTAATTTGGGCATTTTGCTTCTGAAAGTAACTTAAATGCAAATCGTTATAAATTATTGTTGCGATTCATGGTTTTGTTTGAACGTTGAAATTGTGATTTTTGTTTTAACAACAGAAATTGAGTACTTTATGAAATTAATTCATGTTCTGCTTGGAGGTTAAAAATTAACAGGTTAACGGGGCAGATCAGACTATTTATTTTTTTATAAATGGATCAGATCAGGCTAACAGTTAGACTCGTACTATGCTATCGGACCAGGTCAAATTAAAATTTTTTGACATAAACTTGAACTTTTCGAGACAAAGCTCGACCCAACCCAACCCACTCTCATCCGCTATCAAAAGCTGACCTACCAACACAAAATTACATTATGTCAAATGATGAAAGAGTAAGGGGGTGTTTGGTTCAAGTTTTTGGAGAGGATTACCGGTAATCCTTCTTTGGTAAATGTAATTACCACGTTTGGTAGAAGGAATAAATTACGATTCCCGGATATCCAAGGATTACCGGTAATTTGATTTATAAAGAAAAGTCACTATTCAGATTACCAAAAATAATATGGTAATTCGGAATACCAATTAGAATACCAAGTAAAGGGAAAGCACAACAATAAATTTTGAGACAAAAATACCTCAATACACATAAAAATCTAGACCCAATCTATCAATTACAAAAGTAAAAATAGTTTGGGGTTATTTTTGTAAAATAACCTCATATTCCAAGTCATATTTCGTTCTAAACCAAATATAGAATCAGTAATTTTTACCTAATATTCCCGGTGATATTTTGGCGAACCAAACACAAAGATTCCAAGTAAACTCAATTTCTACTGAATTCCCATTAATCATGATTCCCGGTCACCAAAAAATTTCTCTTGTACCAAACACACCCTAACTTTCGTGGTGTACAGGTGACAATGATCTGGGTGAGGCTAATGTTTTTTAAGTTTGTGACAGGCGCGTTACCTTGTTTTACCCCCAAAACCTCATTTGCTTCGTTCAAAACATCTGGTATGTGGTGCAAACATGTTTGATATCACTATGAAACCAAATATGTTTGACTTCAAACTTAATTATAATTACAACTACCTACACGAAAAACATTTTGTTGCTTTTACAAATAAGAAAAAGGGAAGGTTATATTTTAAACTTTTTTTTTTCAAAATTTTAAAAACTATACTATATCTTACCAATAAGATACTTTTAAATAAATTTTACTAATAAGATATAGAGTAATTTATAAATTTATAAAAAACAAAATTATCAATGTAACGCTCCTCTAAGAAAAATCCCTTTAGTTATATATACAAAAATATAATTTTAACTTATTTTTATACTATTCTAAAAATACTCAAAGGAATAAAAACTGTATCCCTTTTGAAAATTATATATCCAAAAATATTTATTAGTACCATCTGGATAACATTCATTATATTAAAATCACTTCACTCACTCACTTTAAATCAATTTATCAAAATGCATATTTTAAAAGGAAAAGTTCACCAGTGCTCCTGTGATTTGCTTCAGAATCACCTATGCCCTGTGATTTTTTTTTATCACATATGCCCATGTGGTTTGCAAAAAGGTATGTTTTTTTATCACATATGTCCCTGTGATTTTTTATTTTTTACAAAACACAGGGACATATGTGATAGAAAAAAACCTACAGGAGCATAGGTGATTCTGAAACAAATCACTGGGGCATTGGTGAACTTTTTCCTATTTTAAAACGTAAATCAATTCATTCACTTACTCACTAAATTTTAATCAAAACTACAATATCAAATTAATCTAAAACTCTAATTCCAAACATACAGTAAATCAATTTGCATGAGACAGACCAGAAGAAATAATCAAAAAGAATAGAAAATCACTGAAAGGAAAGATTTGATAGTGTTCTGAAAAACTGCAGTGTCATCCAAATGAGATTTTTTACCCTTTTTTAGGTATGTTCCTCTTTTTAAAATAGCTCGTAGAAACAGCAAATAACCACAAAATTTTGGTATCCATAAAAGTTGGACAGAGGGTAGATCAGGAAATTCACATCTATCTTTTAAATACCACCATAGCACCAAATGCTAAGCTCCGCCAGAGCAAACATGCAAGGAAATGTTATTTTTGGGTGATTTCTGGAATCCTGCCACCACCATGGTAAAATTCCTTACACCGCCATTTGGCAACACTGCTTCCTACTTTATACATCAAAAGATTTAAACTCCAAAATATACACTCTCACGGAGAGGGAAATATGTAATATTATACAACTCAAACAGTAATAAGCTTCACATGCTAATCTAGAACTTGCTCTGTTCTATAAGTATTAAGATAACGGATGCACTTCTGGCTTATCTTCTTCCATCTCATCTGCAACACAACTGCTGCATGGAGTGTGTATATCTTAGCTTTTAACAAAAAGAACCAAATGGTAATCAAATTAATTTGCAAATGATCGTATGGCCTATTCAACAACATTTTCTCTTAATCCCAAATAAACAATGAACTTTGTCACCATAATTTATTAGACTTGTTGCACTTTCCAATCCGATTTATGTAATTAAGCAGATTACACCCTCGTTTAACATTTTCTATGGGCATATTATCTTTTTTATTCAAATTAAACTTTATTTAAAAATAATTAACATAAATTGTCAGAAAATACCCTTCTCTTGTTTCTCCCTCTTCATCGCTACATTATCTTTCTAGAAATTCCAGCAGAATGAAGTGCTTGCTTCATTCATTTAATCTATAACTTTTCAAGCTTCTGAGGTTGAAGGGCTTTGAAAATAATAGATTAGACAAATGCAAGATAAAACAAACTCAAATCAAATTCTGTTTTTGTTAAAAGCTCTGTTGTATGAGGTTAATTTAAGATTATAAGCAAGCACTGTGAGGGAAAATGAGAAAAATAGGAAAATGACTTATGACAATTTGTTGATTTTATTTAATATAAAAGAAAAAATGCATTAGAAAATGTGATATGTTTATTACATAAATAAGAGTAGAAAGTGCAGCTAGGCTGGTAAGTTAGGGTGGAAAAGTGCATTTGATCCTAAAATAAAACAGTTGAGTATCCAATTAATACGAATAGAATTGAACTTTTACATTAATTAATTGTTGAGGTCAAACATCCACCTATATTAAATGATGAATCTGTATTTATAAGACTATAATCAGGTCCTTGGCCTTGGCTTACACAGGCCTAACTACTAAATTAACCCTCAAGCTGATGGAGAAGCTCAATCTCTCATATAGTCAGCATTTACTATTCAGCTTTAAAAAAATAGGGGAATGTTATGTTTACAAACTTTTTGTTTACAAACTCTTACAAACTACACTATGTACTCCAAGAAGTACACTCATATGAGAATGTACTCCCCGGAGTACATAGTGTAAGTTTACAAGAGTTTGTAAATATAATCTATCCCAAAAAAATATATATAACTCTCACCTCATATGGGCAGTTAAGTTAGAGTTCTTTGAACTAGGCTTCTCATCTTCATCAGGATCAGAATCAAAATCTTCACCACTCCATATGCGACGTTTTGATCTTCTATCCATGTCCTCCTCTTCCTGAATCCGTTCACTGAATAATATTAAAAAAAAAATATGGCAGGGGAACAATATCTGCAACTAGTTTAACAAGTACCAACCTCTTCTGGAACTTTTATGGTTGATGGGGTTGTCTGAAAAGGTACACTGGGTGCATGGGGAAGTCTGGAAAGCTGTTCTAGTAATGTATTCCTGGAAAATCAATTTAAATAATCCATTTTAATCACAGTGAGCTCCAAGCAAATCCTAGCAATTATCAATAGAAGCATACAGAAAATCCATCAATGAAACATTTAACTATTACCATACATACAAAGCTCAATCTTAAACATAGCAGAATAACATTTGTTAAAAAAATTTAGTCTTTAGGGAGCTAGCATTTACTTGCTAAGGGAAGGGGTTTTTAAAGCTGGTTTCCCATCTTCAATGGGAGTCAGGTCTGAGCTATTGCTCAAGTGGCAGTGAACTACATTTACATCTAATATGATTTGTATATATATATTGAAATTTCATGCTGAAAAGCTCCACGTTAGCTTGTTGGTTGAGGTGAAAGGGCACTTGCATATAGATCATAATCTAAAGTTTGTAACCACTTTCCAATGTAACCCACTCCCCAACATACACACGGAGACTTATAAGGGCACTATATATGTGAGTAAATGGATGCCTTAATTCTGCTCGTGTTCAGTCCCAGGCCTTGGCACATAGTGTGACAACTTGCCATGATGGCTTTATATATTTGAAGTCTAGAACAATATCACATGCCTTCACAACCAACACGATCCCAAAATGGAAAGGGTCATCTTACATGCATAAACTATTGCTTGTTCATGCAAATGCAACCATAGTTATCAAATGTGGATTGCGGCCGACCTGAAAACACTATAATGCTATATTGGGTTGCAATATAACAATATAAATCTAAATATACCACCCACGTAAATACTAAAAAATAAAGACATTCATTCAGACATTCATAATTAAAATAAAGCCCCTATTATTCTCTGTTTCTAAATTCCAAAATAGAATTTGAGACCCAAAAAAAAATGACAGAAATAGGCTTCCTATCAATAATATCATCAATCATCAAAGCACTATCCCTCCATTTCTAAATGACTATCAGACCAAGTAACAACAAGAGAAAGATCACTCATCATGTTATAGTTTGTTATTCTAATATTTCCCTATTCTAATTGTCATTTTCAGTTCTGATCATTTGTCAATTATTTTTGTAAGAACTCACTAGGGGTATATCTATGGTAAGTTGGTAATGAAAGATAACAGATGAAAAGTCCAAACTGATGAACCCTACCTTTTGCACTATAATTGATGAATCTTATACAAGTTTTGATGATGCAAATAGACATGCAATTGAAGAGGCAAATGGACTACAAAAGAAATATACATGCACCTACTCATCCAAGCCAAGGGAATGAAGGAATTCGGCCAAGAACATAAACATAGCCATCAAGAGGAGACATAGGGTTTGCTTGAATTTTCTTTTAGAAACATGTTAACAATTCTTGTGTGGTTGAACTTTGATATCTTGAAGCATATCACACACTCACAAAGTTTTTCTAAAGAAAAACCCTGGTTTTGTGGAAAAAAACATCATTAGACAACAACCTAGTACAAAACAAAACGTTGTCCTAGGATGTAATGCACAAATCAAATTCTGCCTAAGCTTAGAGGAGTTGAATGGTATAGGTTATATAACATTTAGAAAACCCTAAAAAGACTTATAAGGTTTAAGATTTCAAAACCTAGGCTTTTACCTTTGAACATGTCTTGTTTTCCATGTCACCTTTGCCTTAACCAACTTCAACTACCCCAACTTCTTCACATGGCTGCACATGCACTTGTTCCCCTCTTAAATACACGGCCAAACAATCTCTAACCACCTTACCAACTTCCAAATTCATCTTGACCATTAGATTAATCCAAAGGTTGAGAAGTAAGTTGAAGTAATAATCAAGTAAGGTGAGCTCTAGAATTAGTTACTCTAGAACCAAGATTTGTTAGCTTTATAAGGAGGATTTTCGGTTGAGCCTCTCATCATTCAGAATTCACAAAAAGCATTCAAGAGATTATAGAGAGAAAAGCTCCAAGAAAACGAGAGAAAACAAGAGAAAGCAAGAGAAAAGGTGAGAGTTTTTCAAGAAACTCAGAGATCTAAGATCTACATCAACTTGCAACTTAAACCCTTGAAGATTAGAAGATTTTTGTTGATTACTACACATGCTTCAAGGTTTCGAAGTTTGTTGCAAAACAAGGATTGATAGGGCTTTGTATTGCTTGTTCCAAAAGGTGCACAATTTCCTATCTCAAAGCCTTCTATCTTGATTTGTTGTTCTTGATAGAATTGCATGCTTTGATAGAATTTTTCCAATTAATTCTGTATTGATTGATATTCGGCCAAGGGCTGGATTTGTTGATGTGCTTGGCTTTGGAGAAGGCCAAGTGGGTAAGACCTTGTGTGGTTCTTGACTAAGATCACTAAGGCATCAAGTTTTTAAGGTTTTGCTAGTTTTCGGCCAAGGAGGAAAAAGCTAGTGTTGTGGGTTGTTGATTGGTGAATCTTAACCCTAGTGATCATATCTTGGATAAGGTATTGATTGCATACTTGATTTGATCTTGGAGAAGATCAAGTTCAAGAATTGATTGTGGTCTTTATTATGAAGGTGTTCAAAGTTCAAGATTGTTGATTGGATTGGTGAATCCATTTTGTTTGTAACCTTTATTGTTCTTGGCATAGTTATCAAATGCGGATTGCGACATGTCACGGCCAACCCCGAAAAACGCTATAGCGTTATAGCGGGTCGGTTGCGGAAATAGCGGAATAGATATATGACAGAAATAATGACAAAAAGAAACATTTTTAAAGGCAAAGATAGCAGAAGTGATAGAAAGAGACGCGGATAGACTAAAAAACACTTAAATTTTTTCTGTTACGCATTTAAATTTAGAACAAATTTGACGTTTTGCCTGATGACAGCAATATGGCCGCAAATGCGATCGAAATGGCCGCTATTGCATTCCGGTGCGGCGCGGTGCGGTTTCTTGCGGTGAGGCACCGCAACGCCTATACGGCGCGGCTTGCGGGGCTATTGCGGCGCAATTAACTACTATTTGGATATTGGCTATAATTACAAGTTAATAAAGGTGCCCTAGAATCCTTGGTTAAGGCTAGGGGTGGATGTAGACAATTTGAGGAATCAAATTGCTAAACCACTAAAAAGATCCTTGTGTATATCTCTCTAACTCTATCCTCTCAATTGTTCTTGAATATCTTGATATATTGGACTGCTTGATCACATAAAGAACATATATTGGAAGGACATAGTGCTACTGTTCATTAGGACCATTGCAAGGAGATTTCATAAGGACTACAAACAAGAATCAAAATAAAAATCAATTTAACCTAGAATTTTACCTAAGTGATTACACTCTTCATAGCTTCGGCCAATACTGATTTAAATACCTAGAGTTGTTCTAAATTTTTGTTTGTGATTGATTTACTTTGTGTTTGATATTATAAGACCATAGCAAAAAGAAGAAATTGATTTGGATTTCGTTTGATAAGAAAATCAAGAATTAGGGTTTTTAAGAACACATTTTGACCTAATTTGTGTATCTTTGTACAATCTTGTGAAATTCTTTTGATTCCTATTAATCTTGATATAACATCATATTTGACCCCTGGACATTGTATTTGATGTGCATATTGGGTTGAATCTTGATCATTTGGTTGATTGGAACATAGAAAGAAAAACTAAGTTGAAATTGACCTAGTTAACCCTAAGTCTTGCATTCGGCCAAAAGGAATTTAATTACTATGCATTCTGTTTTTGTGAAAACTTTTACACTGTATTAAAGATCATATCACAGAGGTTTAGTGTGTAAAATTTCAAAAGATTTGAAGTTGATTTCATTAGTCAATCACCTAATCCTAGTTTCGGTTCTTAGGTTAAAAAGTGTAACATTTGTTGAACATAAAATAAACTAAGATGTAACAGCCCCAAACCCTGTAGCAGGATATTGTCCGCTTTGCCCCGCGCACAAGCACCGTAGAGCTCACGGTTTTACGTTTTGGGTTACCCCCAAAAGGCCTCCTACAAGGAAAGGTATCCACACCCTTATATAAGGCATGCTTCGTTCCCCTCTCCAACCGATGTGGGACATTACATCCTCCCCCACTGGGAATACAGCGTCCCCGCTGTACACACCGGTTCAGGGCCAGGCTCTGATACCACATGTAACAGCCCCAAACCCTGTAGCAGGATATTGTCCGCTTTGCCCCGCGCACAAGCACCGTCGAGCTCAAGGTTTTACGTTTTGGGTTACCCCCAAAAGGCCTCCTACAAGGAAAGGTATCCACACCCTTATATAAGGCATGCTTCGTTCCCCTCTCCAACCGATGTGGGACATTACATAAGGTACATTCTACATAATTCTTGTAAACACTTGATCTTTGGAGAGTTTGTTTTGCAAGATAGGATTGTAGAAGACCATCAAGGACAAGGGCAAAAGACTTCCACATTCACTCAAAAGAAAGGAGAAGATGCAAAAAGCTCAAAGGAAAGGAAAAGGAGTATTTCGCAACACTTAGAATATTTTTTGATTAATATTGTTTTGATTAGTTGATATCAAGGTGTTGTAAAAGGACTGTTCATAACTTCTATATTTCTTATCACTTCCTATCCTACACTAGTTGAGTAAGAAATTATGTAGGGGACGACTAGAAATTTGATAACTCTATTCACCCCTACCCCCCTTCTTCAAGAGTTACTTGTACTTAACTAGACCTAAGGCCACTTGTCCAACACAAACTTCTCTCTTCTCCTTCCCAATTTTTGCCTTTTTCTCTCGGCTATTACTCTTCTCCCCCATGTTCTTCTTTTTCTTTCTAACCTCATAATTTTAGCACTACAATATCCATGCATCAGCTTATAGCAAAAAGCAAGAGAATGTCAGAATCGATGCCTGTTAAGAGACAGGAGAGAGAGTGTGCGCTAAGGTTCATACTATAACCCGATTAAAGACCAAAAGACACATGAAAAAATAACAGTTACAAACTAAAAACAAGGGCAAACTTGAAATTCCAATGTTGTTTCCCTGTTGCAGCACAATTGCGATGCGACGCGCCACAATTTGGCCGCAATAGCTGCAACTCTTACTTGTTGCGTGCCCGCAACTGTAGCCGGATTGCGGGGAATTGATAACCCTAAATGCAACTATTCATAAGATTCTGAAAAGTCCATACATCATATTTGTAGAAAGGATGTGACTTAGCTGTAGAAATATATAGAGCATCTGAGTAGTTACATTCATAATTATCTATTGCCAGTATTTTTTTCCATTATTATGATCAAAATATTGAAATCAGAATTATCAATTGTAATTCAACCAAAAAGCAATTCATATAAAAATCACCTAATTTTTTCCATATCCTTGGGTGTGTTTAGGTTCTGGATGTTGTACGGCTCGACATGAAGAGTATAGTCCGGGCCAAAATATTCATAATATTCATTGTAAGGCAACTTATTATTAGGCTCCACTCCTACTGCTACTGCAGTCTAAAACAAAGAAAGAGTAAGATAGTAATCAAAAAGTAACATTAGACCATCACCAAAATGCACTATTCATAATCCTCGCGCAAGTAGAGAAAGAAAGAAACCTCATAACACCAACAACGAGCAACATTCCTAACTGTATATCCTCCCCCACCCAAGACCATTAGAGGAACATTGAAAGATCTAAGGAAACGAAGGCAATCTGCATGACCCTTCACAGACAAGTTGAAGCAACCCAACCTGTCACCAGACAAGGAATCAGCTCCACATTGAAGAACGACTGCATCAGGTTGATAAACGTCCATGACTTTTTGAATGATGGGTCGAAAAAGGGCATTGAAATTCTCATCATCCATTCCATCATTCAGTGGGACATTTAGAGCATAATTCTTTCCGGGTCCCACCCCAGTGTCTTTAATGTGCCCCGTTCCAGGGAAAAAATCCCCAAACTTATGAAAAGACACTGTCATCACTCTATCAGTAGTGTAAAATGCCTCCTCAACGCCATCTCCATGGTGAACATCAATATCAACATACAACACACGCTGGCCAGCAAAATAGAATAGATAGTGTGAACAATATATTCAGTAAAAGAAGAAAATACCTGTGATAAAAATAGCAAAAAAAAAAAAAAACACTGGTATTACAAGTAACAGAGGCATTTTTTGTACAAGCACTAAGTGGAAACATAATTTGATTCGCCAAAACAAAAACAAGAAGAGAAAACGATACCAGGAGTAATCTAAGTCATAACTCTGATGAAAAGCTTAACAGGCATCGAATAAATTAGGTCATCATATTCTTGTTCATTACAGAAGTTATTTTTCGTGGAATAAAAATAGGAAAGGAATGGTCACACTCATTCCAATTCGAATGTCTCAATTCCATTTTGTTTGTATGTTTTGGCATAAGAAATCAAACATTAAAATAGAACCATGACTATGACTAAGTTCAAAATTGAACCGATTTTGGGGACTAACACTAGCCACGAACGAAGAAAAACATCATTGAATACAAACTAGAAATGAAACAAGGGTGACTTCAAAGCATAGCAAAACAAAAAAAAACAAAAATGCCTAACAAAATTCCCAGATATTGAGAAAAGAGAAAAGAAAATGGAAAAATACCCTGTGAACTTTGAGAAGCTCGAGAATACCGAGAACAATGTCATTGACGTAGCAAAAGCCAGAGGCTTCCGCTTTCTTAGCATGGTGCAAGCCGCCGGCCCAATTGATGGCGATATCGGCGTCGGAGCGGTTAAGCCGAACGGCGGCACCGATGGAGCCTCCGGCAGAGGCCTGGCAGAAATCGAAGATGCCGTCAAAGACGGGACAGTCCTCGCCTACGTTGAAGCGCTTGAGCTGGCGGTATTGGGAGTGTGTGTTCTCGGAGAGGATCTCCGGGGAGACGGTGGAGAGGAATTCGACGTAGTCGTCGGAGTGGAAGCGGCGGATGTCATCGGGAGCGGCGGGGAAGGGACGGTTGATCTGCATGCGGCGGTGGAGGGAGTAGTGGACGATGAGGTTGTGGGCCATACGTATACGGTGCGGTTTCATTGGGTGACCCTGACCGTAGTAGTAATCTCCGATGGTGGGTTCGTAAAAGTAGGTAACCCTACGGTTCTTTGCGTCTGAACCCACCGAGGGTAGCGATGCACCACCCTCTGCCATTTCACCGCTACCCATGCTTCCAATTCAGATTCAATAAACCAAACCCTTCTTTTCCCTCCTCCTCTCTTTCCCTCCCTCTCTGAATTTCTCTCTCTATAATATAGTCCGTGCATACCATAAATTTTAAAATCTATATATATTAAAAATTGAATTTTAATTTTTAAATCGAATAATAGTTGCAGACAAGGCATTGAATGTCCCACTGCCCATCACATTGGTATCCAAAAAAAATCAACTGTTTTAATTGTTTTTTATGTTGGAATTAGTCATCTCATCTGAAATTCGAAATTTTAAATGATTTATCAATTAAATTTTGAAATTATGTATTTATTTTGCACAATCTGAAATTCGAAATTTTAAATTCAATAAAAAGAAAACTCTTTTCACAGACATGCATTCATGATCTCCATGAAAACAAAAATAAATTTCATAATTGTTGAAGACCTAATCGTCATTCAATTCACAATTTCGTTATGGTTATTTTTTTAAAAATATATATACAATAATAATATAACAAAGACATTATCTTTGCTATATAGACATTATCTTTGTTATATATTTGATTCAAATATCATAACAATCAAGAATCAAGAGAGCTGACAGACAAAATAAATTAAATCCCAAAAGCAAAACTATCATATCAGATAAACTATCATACCAATATTCTTTTAAAAATTGAATTTTTGAAATTTTTAAATGGTTTATCAATTAAATTTCGAAATTATGTATTTATTTTGCACAATCTAAAATTCGAAATTTTAAATTCAATAAAAAGAAAACTCTTTTCACGGACATGCATTCACGATCTCTATTCATGGAGATCAATATAAACAAAAACAAATTTCACAATTGTTGAAGACCTGATCGTCATTCAATTCACAATTTCGTTATGGTTATTTTTTTAAAAATATATACACAATAATGATATAACAAAGACATTATCTTTGTTATATAATTGATTCAAATATCATAACAATCAAGAATCAAGAGAGCTGACAGACAAAATAAATTAGATAATCAGGTGTTTTATTTGCTTTTTATGTTTGAATTGGTCGTCTGATCAGAAATTCGAAATTTGAAATGGTTTAAAATTTTGAAATTAAATATGGATGGTGGAAAAAGAATTTCTTTTAAAAATTGAATTTTAATTTTGTAATTGAATAATTAAATGACCGTTTGTGGTGGCAGACATAAAAGAATAATTAATTAATAAATATGATTTTGAAATTCGAAATTTTAATTGGATAATCAAGTGTTTTAATTGCTTTTTATGTTGGAATTGGTCGTCTGATCTGAAATTCGAAATTTGAAATGGTTTAAAATTTTGAATTTAAATATGGATGGTGGGAAAAGAAATTCTTTTAAAAATCGAATTTTAATCTTTAAATCGAATAATTAAATGACCATTTGTGGTGCCAGACAAGACATTGAATGTCCCACTGCCCATCACATTGGTATCCAAAAAGAAATCAGCTGATTTAATTGCTTTTTATGTTGGAATGCGTCATCTATCTAAAATTCGAAATTTGATTAGTGGGAGTTTAAATAATTAGTGGTGGAAGGGTCCACGCTGCTATCAAGGGTTCTTTAAGGGTGTGCATGACAACCATTCTATTCCCGAGCACTGTTTCTGAAAAGAAACAATTCTTTTCTATTTCTGTGCCTTGGAACAGTTTCTGTGAAAAAAAATGTGTTTGATAACATGTTCCATTTTTATTCCGAGAATAAGAATTGTGTTTGATAACACAACAAATAATATAATAAAAAATAATTCTTATTAAATATAAAAAAAATCGGATCAACTCTTTCCTTTCCATATGGAGTGGTTGTGGTGGCGGCGGCGGCGGTACGGTAGCAGTGGCGGTACGGCAGTTGTGACGGTAGTGGCTGCGACGATGGCGGTGATAATGGGGGCAGCGACGGTGGTAGTGGTGGGGATGATGGTGGTGGAGGTGACGGCAGTGGCAGCGATAATGGTGGTGGGTATGGTGGTTGGTGGCGGCAACAGTGGTAGCAGTGACATGATGGTGGTGGTGGTGGCAATGGTTGCAGCGGTGGTGGTAGGTGACAGTGGTGGTGGTGGTGATGGTGGTGATGGCTTGGTGATGGTAGTGGTGGCGTTGGTGTAATGGTGGCAATGGTGTGGTGATGACGGTAATGGCTGTGACGATGGTGGTTGTGGTTGGTGGCGGCGATGACGGCGATGGTGGTGAAGACAGTAGTGGTTGCGACAATGGTAGTGGTGGTGGCATTGTGGTGGTGGTAGTGATGGCGATGGGGGTGGTGGCACTGGCGTGTGATGGCGATGGTTGCGATGATGGTGGTGGTGCTTGATGGCGGTGAAAGTGGCGGCGGCGATGGTAGTTGTGGTGGTGGTGGCATGGTGGTAGTGATGGGTGGAGGTGTGGGTAATGGTGTCGGTGACATCGTGGTGGTGAGGGGTGGTGACGACGGCACTAGTGGTACGATGGCGGCGACGTCGATGGTGGCGACAGTCGTGTCGGAATGATGGTGGTGGTGATGATGATGGTAGAGGTGGAGAGTGATTGAGAGAGATAACTGTTTCTCATTTTGAGCCCGGGAACAAAAAAGCAGAAATTTTTTGATTTTTTTTTCTGTTCCCCAGCACAAAAATTAAATCGGTTCATCTCGGGAACAAAAAAATAAACTGGTTTTACCAAACGAGTTTCCTATCCATTTCTATTCCCGGGAACAGAAATTAAAAAAGAATTGATTCCGGGAAGGTTGTCATGCGCACCCTAAATGTCCGTAACAAAATTCACGAAGGAGAAGTTTATTTCATAAAAAAAATTTGGAGTTGGTTTGAATAGTGTGAGTTTCAGGCCAACTAAGCATGATTATCGTTTGTCCTTCAACTTGAGGACTGATGTAAAATCCACTATTGATTCTGCTATTCCCACCAATGGATTTGATTTTGTAGATTTTGACGTTATAGAGAAAGAGTCTTTTGATTCCCCTTATTTAGTAGGTTTGTAGATTTTGAACTGTCCACTAAGTCATGTTTTTGTTGTTTGTGTGACAATATCATATGTCTAACCATCCTTAATGTGTAGATGTCATCGGTTTAGTTTATGGAATATGGGAAGTTCGTGAGCATATTATCTCCGGTATGAAGACAAAAATGGTTGTCGTGGAGCTTGATAACCTCAAGTATCTATTGGTTATTTGTTATGTGTTATGTTCATTTGATGTAAAATTCTATTTTGTGATTTGTTGCAAAAACTGTGCAAGTAGGGGTCACAAGCTCGAGTGCACTCTCTGGGAGGACTACGTGGACCAGGTGCAACAAATTTTGGGGAGTAATCAATCTCCTCCAAACGTGATGATAGTTCAGCTTGCTAGAATAAAGGGTTTCAGGGGTGAGTTCACATAAATATTTGATTATGATTTCATAATGGAATGTTTTAGTTTATTTCCCTCCTTATGGTTTTGAAATTAATAATAAATTTTAAAGGAAAAATTGGAATAACAAATACAAAGTATACGACGAGGATAATTATCGGTCCCAGTGTACCAGAGATTGTCGACTTCAAAAAAAGGTGTGAGCTGTTGTTATTCCATTATTCTGCTCTTTTCTTTATTATTTATCGCCGATTATTTGTAATGTTGTTGTTTTTTAGGCTTTCGTCTGATGTCATTGATAGCGGTTACACGTTGTCTCAGTTATCAAGTCAGTCCTCATATTCTTTTGAGAATGATTTCCTGAAAGAGACGGAAAGGAAGTGTATCAGTGATGTTAAGAATTGCAGTGAGGTTACTACTTGCATTACTTATGGAACCATAAAATCGATTGAGAGCAAATATAAATGGTGGTACAAGTCCTGTAATAAATGTCCATATTCTGTTTATGAAGATTTCGAGAAATGGTATTGTAAAAACTGCCAAAAACATTTTGATGATTATTATCCAAAGTAAGATTTTATATCTATTTTTGTTGTTGTTATTATTAGATCGTTCATTTTATTTATAAATAACACAATCGGTGGTCATGTGTTGCAGATTTTGTGTGCAGTTGAGAGTTGTGGATCACACTGATTCTGCATCTTTCATTCTGTTTGATAGAGACTGTGTTGCTTTGTTGGGCATGAGTGCTGCGGATTTACGTGAGCAGCATTTCAAAAGGGTTTGTGTTCTTATTCCACTCATTTTTTTATTCATTTAAAGTTCTTATTAAAATTTCATTAATATTTTTTTTGCAGGGTGATGATTTCGAGCACTATCCTAAGGAACTTAATGTTCTTATTGATAAATCCATGTTGTTTAAAGTGAATGTGAAAAAAAATAATTTGGACTCATACAGTGAGCCTAGGTATCAGATTTCTAAAGTATGTATAAGCGAACCTGTAATCACATCCTTCCTTAAGACTGTTGTGGATACGAATGTGAGTTATTTTTTTATTAACATTATTATTTCTATTTAGGTTTTGCTGTTCTCATTCTGCGTTTCAATGGATTTGATTTTTTTCAAAATATTTGTTTTAAATGCAGGATGAAGGATTATTTGACAAGGCTTGCGACAGTGTCGTTGCATCAGCAGAACCGGAAAGAGCTACGGTATCTCGAAATTATTGCTTATGAATTAATCAAAAAAATGTTGCATGCAGTTTTATTGCAAAACATAAGTTAATTTCAAACAATATTTGTTTCTGACAAGGATGTGGAAAGTCAGACGTGTGATAGTGCAGACGTTGGTGATATTTCGCTATCAATGCTGACGCCGTTAATGAATCCTAATGATCCCCTTCAAGACGATTTTAATTCATCAGTTGTCCGTCCTCCTAAGAAGATTAAGCTAGAGAAAGAGTTGAGTACTTACCCATTATTTTTTTCTTTGTGTAGCTTTTTTTATTTATAATCGTGAGTGTGATGTGTCTGTTAATACGTCGTTATTTTTTTGTTTCTGTTTAGATTTGATGCTGTTCTGAAAGACGCGTAGCTGGAACAATGTCACTTGGAAGCTGGAACAACGTCACTTGAAAGTTTTTTGTTTTTTGTTTTGGAGATTGTTTGGGATTGAACAATATAATTGTAGTTTTTTATTGCTGTGTTTTGGTAATCACTTCCTCCGTGTTTAACTTCAAATAGGAGCGTTCCTGTAGACAAAGTAATGTTTATGCATATTCTGGAATACAAGTTTATCTGTTTGTCATTAGTTATTTTCCACAATATTTTCAATTGTTTTATTGGAATGATAAATATGTGGTTAATCCGGTAATTGGATAATCAGCTGTTTAATAAGTTTCAAAATTCGAAATTTTAATTGTATAATCAGCTGATTTAATTGCTTTTTATGTTGGAATGCGTCATCTGATCTAAAATTCGAAATTTGAAATGGTTTAAAATTTTGAATTTAAATATGGATGGTGGGAAAAAAATTTCTTTTAAAAATCGAATTTTTATTTTTTAAATCGAATAATTTAATGACCATTTGTGGTGGCAGACAAGGCATTGAATGTCCCACTGCCCATCACATTGGTATCCAAAAAGAAATCAGCTGTTTTAATTGCTTTTTATGTTGAAATTGGTCATCTGATCTAAAATTCGAAATTTGAAATGGTTTAAAATTTTGAATTTAAATATGGATGGTTGGAAAAGAATTTCTTTTAAAAATCAAATTTTAATTTTTAAATCGAATAATTAAATGACCATTTGTGGTGGCAGACATAAAAGAATAATTAATTAATAAATATGGTTTTGAAATTGGAAATTTTAATTGGATAATCAGGTGTTTTAATTGCTTTTTATGTTGGAATTGGTTGTCTGATCTGAAATTTGAAATTTGAAATGGTTTAAAATTTTTAATTTAAATATGGATGGTGGGAAAAGAATATCTTTTAAAAGTCGAATTTTAATCTTTAAATCGAATAATTTAATGACCATTTGTGGTGGCAGTTAAGGCATTTAATGTCCAACTGCCCATCACATTGGTATCCAAAAAGAAAACAGTTGTTTTAATTGCTTTTTATGTCTGAATTGGTCATCTCATCTGAAATTCGAAATTTTAAATGGTTTATCAATTAAATTTCGAAATTATGTATTTATTTTGCACAATCTGAAATTCGAAATTTTAAATTCAATAAAAAGAAAACTCTTTTCACGGACATGCATTCACGATCTCTATTCATGGAGATCAATAGAAACAAAAACAAATTTCACAATTGTTGAAGACCTGATTGTCATTCAATTCACAATTTCGTTATGGTTATTTTTTTTTAAAATATATACACAATAATGATATAACAAAGACATTATCTTTGTTATATAATTGATTCAAATATCGTAACAATCAAGAATCAAGAGAGCTGACAGACAAAATAAATTAGATAATCAGGTGTTTTAATTGTTTTTTATGTTGGAATTGGTCGTCTGATCTGAAATTCCAAATTTGAAATGGTTTAAAATTTTGAATTTAAATATGGATGGTGGGAAAAGAATTTCTTTTAAAAATCAAATTTTAATTTTTAAATTGAATAATTAAATGACCATTTGTGGTGGCAGATATAAAAGAATAATTAATTAATAAATATGATTTTGAAATTCGAAATTTTAATTGGATAATCAAGTGTTTTAATTACTTTTTATGTTTGAATTGGTCGTCTGATCTGAAATTCAAAATTTGAAATGGTTTAAAATTTTGAATTTAAATATGGATGGTGGGAAAAGAAATTCTTTTAAAAATCGAATTTTAATCTTTAAATCGAATAATATACAGATCACCGAAGATTCAACATGTAATATAAAACAAAATTCTACTTTGGCAGAGTTGTTGTCAAAAACAAAGTTAATCATTTGGGATGAAGCACCGATGGTACACAAATTTTGCTTTGAGGCTCTTGATAGAACACTTAGAGATGTTCTTAGCTGTGTTGATATGCCCTTTGGTGGAAAAGTTGTCGTTCTAGGAGGTGACTTTCGGCAAATATTACCTGTCATTCCAAATGGCAGTAGACAAGATATAGTTCATGCAACCATCAATTCTTCCTATCTATGGTCCCATTGTCATCTGTTATCTTTGACCAAGAACATGTGTCTCAATTCTGGAAGTAGCACAAATAATTTGTTGGAAATAAAAGAATTTTCTGAGTGGCTGCTTAAAATAGGAGATGGTGATCTTGGGGATGATGTTGATGGAGAATCTATTATAACAATTCCAGATGAATTGTAGATCAAAGGTTCAGAAGACCCACTTTCAGATATTGTTGATTTTGTTTACCCGAATCTGATGGATAATATATTATATCCTACTTTCTTTAAAGAACGTGCTCTTCTGACTCCTAAATTGTCCGATGTTGCCATGTTAAACGAGCACCTAATGGCTGTGATTCCGGGTGAAGAAAGAACATTATTGAGTTCAGATAAGGTTTTGAAACAAGACGGTAATTCATCTCTTGAGGATGACGAAATCTCCCCTGGTATCTTAAATACATTCTCATGTTCGGGGATTCTTGATCATAAATTAACTTTGAAGGTTAAAGTACCGGTGATGCTATTGAGAAATATTGATCAATCAAGAGGTTCATGCAACGGTACGAGATTACTTATTACAAAGTTGGGGAATCATGTTGTTGAGGAAATTGTTCTTACAGGAAACAATATAGGAGATACTGTGTTAATCCCTAGAATGACGATCAACCCATCGGGTCATACATTTCCAGTAAACTTCCAAAGAAGACAATTCCCCTTGGTAGTTTCGTTTGCGATGACTATCAACAAAAGTCAAGGACAGTCGCTGTCTCATGTTGGCATTTATCTTCCTAGGTCTGTCTTCACTCATGGGCAATTATATGTGGCACTATCTAGAGTAAAGAGCAAACATGAATTGAAGATGCTGATACTTGATGAAAATGGTTGCGTTACAAATACTACCTTTAACATCGTCTACAAGGAAGTATTTCAAATATTAGTGTAGTATACTTGGTTATTTCTACAAAGAGATAACATTATTGTTTGGTATCAGGTAAGATCTCAATTTTTTATCATAATTTTTTTTTTAATCTTCTTTGTTGATTTCCTTTAGTTGTTATGCCTATTTTTCTGCTAATTTTTTATTGTTATGCAGATTCAGTATTCGAGGCACAATCAGTATATTATTCCCTTGTCATTTTTCAGAGTCAAAGGTTTTTAATTGTAATTCTGAATTATTCATCTGCCTAAACTATATAATTCTTTTCAATAATTTTTTCTTTTCCAAATATTGTTTATATATTGTTTATGATTCATTTCGAACAGCAGCAAATACCAATAGTGCATGGCGGACGATATTTTACAACTGTTGTGAGTATCGGTTGGGCATATTTCTTATTATATTGCTGTCAACATGACATTTATATTTTTTTAATGGAGATTTTGCTGTCAACCATGGAATTTACTGTGTTTAAATTATTATATTCACTTTTTTGTTCCTACCTTAAAAGTTACACGTTTATGTCATACGAACAAACCGATTTTCTTATTAATTCGTTTATGGGACAAACAAACCGATTATTTTTTTCTCCGTGCATCGCACGGGTAATCAACTAGTTTAAAAGCATAAAAGATCAAATAACCATATAACCGGCAAAAATGAAGTTATCCCATCCCAATAATGAAAGAATCTTCTTGATTGGGATACTTTAATATCAATCCATCTGTTGGGATATTCTTTAATGCCAACCCACTAAAGACCAAAGAATTTGTCCCTTGGTTTCTACATTTTTGTATTATTACTTTCGGGCATGTTTGGTATATAGTATAGGATAAGGTCTGATAGAATAAGATCTGATAGTAGTATAAGGCCTGATTGTATAAAACCTGATTGAATTTTAATACTATCCAGCGTTTGGCACGGTATTGTATAAAATAATATATTATATAAGATAATATCATCTAGTATTTGGTAATGCACTGTATAATACTATATATGATAAAAACAAATATTTTTAATAAAAATAGCCTTTAATAAAAAATTTATATAATTCTTCAAAAAATGTCATATGATATTAACTTTTATAAAAATTTATTGATCAGTGTGTCCAAAATATAAATTAATTTTTATAAAAATAAAAATATTCAATATTTTAAAAATTAATATATTGAAAAATTAATTTTTATTTTAATAGATTAATATTAAAATAATATATTAATTTTTGAGAATTATATTGGTCAATGATATTAATACATCAATCTCTTATCAGACTTTATCCCTCACCTTTAGGTCGGATTAAGTTATATATCGTTTTGATGTATTAAGGGATTATGCTGTATAAGCTTATATTATACGATGGTCACACCAAACGACTGAAAATGTCATAACGTATAGTATAAGCTTATATTATCATGCCTTATACGTCACACCAAACAGGCCCTTAGGGTTTGTCATTTTAAAACATAATTTTGTGTCATTTTTAATGAAACTACGTCGTTTTGGTATGTTTTGTCATTTTTTTTAATTTATAAAATTAGAAATAAAAAGAAAATGGAGGAGAGAGAATGTTAAAACACATCAAAACGACGTAATTTCATTAAAAATGACATAACTTTGTGTCATTTAAAATGACAAATATTGTTATCAAAAAAAAAAATGACAAATATTTTTCCCTATTATTTTATTAGTGTTCGGTTTGTATTTTGTGCATCTTCTTACTGACAACTCTTCTGTGATATTTGTTAGAGACAGGCTATTGCCACTAGTAATTAGTTTCTTTCTATCACAAAAACAAAAATTAATTCCCTCCCAAAATCGAGACATGGAATCGGTTAATTTTTATAAATATGTTACCTTAACTTTTGCTTTTAACAAATAGATCCTCTCCGATTTTAAGAATAATCTCGATAGCTATATTTCTTATTTTCTTTAAGAATCAATGCATTTAAGATAAAAAAAAAATAGTATTCCAAACAGACATAATACGATAACATTTTCCAAAATTAAGAGTGTTGGTTACAATATTAAAAAATTAAATGTATTTTATCTATTTACTTCAAAAAAAATCGTGCTTTTTTTTAAAACAAAAGATGTTCCTTATCCAAACTTAGTGCTTTTTATTGATCTATTGAATATCAAATTAATTATTTTGAATAATAATAACATAAAAAATTACTTTTTGGTTGAAAAGTACAAAATTATGTGAAGGATGATGATAAGGAACAGGTTTATTACAATACCATATTCCGTTTCCCGTATTGATGGTTTAATGTTTACATAAGAAAAAAGTGTTGAAATTCATTAAGTAGTAAATTATATAACTTTTTTTTATGCCTATTTTTTATGATGACTAAATTATAGTTGATGGACTAATTTTATTTTGTCGCTTCAAATTTATATCTCCAAAGTATACCTGGTTACAACAAAAAATTGTGAATTAATTATTGTGAAAATACTTTTCATTCCATTGACCTGTGAGCTTACACATATCTCGACTAATCTAGATCTCCAATCAAGTCAAAATTAACATATTAACATAAAAATAAAAATAGTAATTAAGTACAAGTCATAATGCTTAAGTCATTTAATAATTATTTGTAAAAAAAATAATTTTCACTCATTTGATTATTCAATGTTACTATGTTAATTTTATACGCTAAAGATTTGAATAATTTGAATAAAATAATTAAGTTACGAGTAAGTTTAGTTGTTTGTAAATCATATTATAATTAAGTTCATTTAATTTAAATTTATGAAAAAAAAAGTAAGTGAAGTAAAAGCAATTCATCATACGAAAAGTTATGATTGAGTTAACAATAAACATTGATAATAACTATACAAAATACATCATGACATTGACCTATTTAAAATTGGCTAATAATATTAGCTTTGCGAAGATTAGCGCTTGTTACATTGATATCCTTTTTATCTGAAAATGACTCCAACATATCTTACTTTATGTAGTATTCTTCCATTCAAATAACTTTATTTTTCTAAGGAATTAATTATAGGTACGTTCCTTATTTTATGTTTGGATCTTACACAGGATTTCTTTGGGCGTTTGGTACAGGAGAAATTTTTATTTGTCCGAAAATCTCAATTTTCAAAAATATGATTTTTACATTCAGTTGACGATAATATCTGAAAATTTAAAATTTTAAAATTTTCAGTTTTCCAAAAATCCGAAAAAAAATTCGTGTACCAAACGACCCCTAAAAATAACAAAGTAAGGGAAGTATGTGTGATTTCTTAAATCAAAAGAGTATTAGTATAATAAGCGCTAATCTCAAAGCAAATAAGTGCAACTGCTCTACTAATAATTAATAAGTGTAAAGTCATTTGATAAAAATTAATGTATTTTTTATTGTAAAATATGTCAATGACCTTTGGCTTTCCTATGACTTTTGATATATTTTGTAACACACTAATAGTGTATTGAAATATAATTACTCCCTTATTGATGTATAAAGTCCTATATTGTATAGAGTCATATATAAAGACATGGGCAAAAGCACTCCATATACTACTAACATTTTGCAAAAATTTCTCTTGTTCAAAGCACATCTAGAAAGTTTTACCATACTAGAGCAGTCAAACGCGTCACCTGATTTGACGCGTTCAGTCCCGTCGACAATACTGACGCGACTTGGTTCTACGTTAGCAAAGTGGAGGAGCTGCAAGCCATGTGACACGATTTGGTTGAGTCCCGTCACATAAGTTGACGACACTAATCGCGTCAAACAACTTGACGCCACGTGGCTAATTGCGTCTCCAAATGTGACGGTACTCATTACCTATTGCCGTCATGTACATTGACGGAACACAGTCCACCGACGCAAAAAAAACAAAAGAACCATACTGCGTGGAAAGCAAATAGTTCGCCAGAGAATAAAAGGGAAAGCAAAGTACGAATAGAATCCGAAATAGTTTCGCCTGTGAATAAAAAGGAAATCAAAGTACCATGGAATCTAAAATAGTTTTGCCTGTGAATAAAAAAGAGAGCAGGTATACAGACAAGCGTGGTAACGAAATAGCAATAGACATGTGAAATTTTTTTTAGACATACGAAGCCCACATTTTGTATATATATACCCCCTTATTTTCATTGGATTGTTCAGTGTAGTATTGTGAATGTGTTTTTAGTTTTTACTTTGTGTTTTTAGTCATTATTTTCTTATTTTGGGTTCACATTTTATCAGTTACAATTTGTGATTTATATAGTTCAGAGTCACCCTGTGGATCTTATCATGTTATATTAATCACATGTCTATTTTAAGTCATAATACCAGGAATTAATTTGTATTTTATTTGCATAAAAACATTATTGCAATGGATCAATTTCGTGCATTCATATACTAGAAGGGTAGTAAAAGTATAGGTGCAAACGGTTTAAGTTTCGAAGGGAAAAAAAGAGCAATGTATATTGTCCGAGGCATGTCTGTTGTGGATCTGTATGGGAAGATCCGTCAGAAGTTGATGCTGCAACAAATAAGGTAATATCTTCAATTACAAGTAGAGTCCTGTGTGGAAACTGCAAACATGCAGGTAGTAAACATAATTGTGTGAGCAAAATCCTCTCCCAAGATCGTAGACAACTTCTTTTGAATTTATTTCTCAGGCCATAATAGGTATTGTGCATTCTTTAACTATTTTTTTTCATAATTATTTGTGTTTCTCAGTGAATGTAAATATTATTCCTAATGTACACATGTACCAATTGTGGCAGCAGACATAGTCAAGGCATCTCCTTCGGTACCCGTGATCATGATACAAGAACAGGTTACTGGTCTCTTTGGTTTTAACGTTTCTTACAGGAAGGCGTGGAAGGAAAAACAGAAAGCAATCGCCAAGATTTACGGTGATCGGGACCAGTCATATGCGTTCTTACCAAGAAAGTCCGTGCACATGCTTAAATTTTCCTCGGTATCTGTTTATCATATTCAAGATGGACCATATGTCATCAATCGACAGGTTGTTAATGGGGTTCGGGTTTTTCAACGTGTTTTTGGACTTTCAGTCAATGTCGTGAGGCGTCCAAATGGTCCAAGCCAATTATACAGGTGGACGGTATGTGATGATCCTCAAAAATTGAGGACCATTGATGGTTTGGATGCTCCTTAAATCCAAATTATTGATGTGTAACCTGCCCTTTTCTTCCATTTTCTCTGCAAGGAGCAGATAATTGTTATTTTGGGTTGGAGCAATACGTAATATGGGAATTA